ATCGAATTACAATGTAAATATTACTTTTAATATGGTATTTATATAGTGACGAAATACCGCCTTGTATTGTCCAGCATTATAATTACTCTCTTACGACTTTATGAGGGAGCGGGGGTTGGGTTACACATAATACGCAGAATCAGCAACAGACTCACTAATAAACAATCCTATCTAAATTATGTCGGTGGGCGAGGAAATTAGCCCGAAGGAACAGGAAAGTGAAACATTGGCAATGGAAATGAGAGTGTCATTGGCAAAGCAGATCATCAACTATTGAAGGAGGAACTTGAGATCAGGAGGGAGCGAAGGAAATGAGTGCAGAGAATGTGACGGAAATGATAGTGATGAAAAGAAGGCGGATATATATATATATGCCCAGCGCGCACACATACCGCACACGAAAATGCTATATAGTATGGAGATATGAAATCTTCATAACTGATTGCTTCGCGTTTTTTCATTCGTTGCTGGTGGTATTGATTTCGCAACGGTGGAGCGTAACCCTGATAGCTCCCTGGATCGACAGGAGAATAGATCCCCCGCGAGCATTCACGCGAAGAACCAAGTTCACGAAGACACGCGAGTCATCAATGTATAATAACGCACGGCGTCAAAAACGGGCGCGTCAAGGACATGCAACCCGATGACGGAATAAACGCTGGCCGACAGACTGAGGGCGCGCAGCGTCTGCAGGTAGGTAGGTAGCCGTCGTCACAGCTCCACGTGTTAACATCGATAGCGGGACCCGCCCCCGAAAACCGGTTACATGCGAGGAAGCAGACACGCCCCGCCCGCGATTATAACCGCACAATGTAATAGCAAGCAACGCGCGGATAATTCTGTCGGCTCTTCCCATGCCGGTAACCAGCAGGGAGAGGGGAAATTCGTTATCAAATGGAGAGGGGTAACTCAAACTAAGGACTATATCACTCGGTGCAGTTTAACAGCGTCCTAGCGACGATGCTTCCTTATTCTATCCTTACTATGCCGGGGTCGGCGCCTAGCTCCAGGAGAAATGGCGCGTGCTAACGAACGACGACAACGACTATAGTTGGTACCCGGTAATAAAAAATACCCGGTATTCGCGGAACTTCCGACTAGCGACGCCTAGTATCGACAACACCGACGAGTGCCGACAGCGATACCTTGTGCCGACAGCGCCGCCTAGTGCTGACAGCGCCACCTAGTATCGACAACATCGACGAGTGTCGACAGCGCCGCCTAGTGCCGACAGCGCCGCCTAGTGCCGACAGCGCCGCCTAGTGCCGACAGCGCCGCCTAGTATCGATAACACCGACGAGTGTCGACAGCGCCACCTAGTGCCGACAGGGACTACTGCACGTTCGCGAAACCTCCCGCAGATATTGAGAAACCAGATTCACAGCAATCTCGTGGCAATATCGATCGTATTATACAAACTAATGCCGTATAGTAATTGGTAGTCACGTACGGTACAAGTGGTACGCCTGGGAAGCTCAACAAGTGCCGCAGTGCGACAGGGCTCATCTGGTGTCTGGTGTTCTGCTGATAAATTCATTTGTGCATAGCAAGACGTCTTATACATAAGTCTTCTTTATTCTTGTTTGACTTTCGTAGCCAATTCGAACAAATATATCAGCTACACTTTCGCACCCACCTATTCTCTATGCATTGCAGACACATGTGCATTGCAGGTTGGCAGGCAACAATTATGATTAGAAGCGTGCCAACCATGGGCTGCCCGCGTTTTTGCCTACCCACGCGAGCATTCACTGATTCAGCCTTCAGGGTGCTATAGACAGACTGCTTTAGAACATAATATGATTTAAGGAGCGTAAACCTTGTTCAACAAACATTTGCCTTTGCAATTAAACTGTGCAACTGTAAACTCACATTCACACTAGTATGGGCTCTAATAATAGCAAAAGCAGTTCAGTCCTTTGTTAACAGTCAACAAATCAATGTTTAACCCTCCTCTTGAGGGTCAAAAGGTTATCCGACACTTACTCTTCGCATGTCAGCGGAAAGTACATTTCATGGTCCTTTTAATAAAGCCATAAAAATGGTAGGTCACTGCTGAAACAAAAAAGTTTTTCAATCGCTCCGTCAGACCATGTCCTCAGAAAATGTCTAAAATCTGCCCTGTGCCCCATTGACCTTTGACATGTGACCTCCAATTTCGGCACAGTGATGGCTTTTCCTACCATGATGCTATACACCGACTATCACGAGCCTACGTTTAGATGTGTGCCGCAATTGTGCATTTCCTTCCTATACCTTAAGTTAAGGAGGGAATGTTCCCCCTTCTTTTACACCTCTTGACCTTTGACATTTGACCCCCAGCTTCGACATCCCAACTCGTTTTTGGATTACCTCCCCCCCACGTCCCGACTTTCGAATCCGTACGTCGAGCCGTTTAGATTTGTGCCAACTGTTGACGTACGCACGGACGGACGGGCGCACGGACAATCATGCGATTCTACAAGCTGCATCTGACTTCGTCAGATGAGCTAAAAATAAGACGTAGTACAAAAGGGACAACGTTAGCGTTACATGAACAATATTCGGCTTGAGCATTAGTAGTTAAATTCTCACGTAGAAATAGTGTTTTCTAATTGCGATATATATCAGTGGTGTTTATCTGTGGTGACAAATTTTTAACCTACTATCCACCCGGTTTGGAAATTCCAGCTAGGAAAATGGGTAGACACGCATATTATTCGCACTTCTAAACGAATATTAACGTGCTTTTCGTTGCTTAAGAATGCGCCAGATTTGGCGCACGCTGAGAACTTACTCGGGTTAAAATGCTTCTTAAGTCTACCCATAGGCTTCGTGTTATAGCGCCATGCAGGAATTAGTTAGCGGTGGCGAAAGAGACCCGGTATTTCAAGCGCGGAATTGTAAGAAACGCACATTTGAAAAACGAAAATCCACGCAGAGTAATATTAGTCATCCGCACTTGATAATAACTGGTGACGCAGTTCGTGTAACTCAGCACCATGCCGCCAGTAACTGAGACTACAACTGGAAAGCTGGCCATTCAAACCGTCCACGTCAAAGCCGCGATTCAGCGATAGACTTCAAAGCTTAATTATACGAATACATGTCGTTTACAGTGCAGATTATTTTCACGACTTTGTGCATCTTTATATTTTGCAAATCCATGACGGTATATCCTCAGCAGCGGAGAAAAACGAAAAATGCGCCGCGCAAATTGCACTGCTAAATCTAACCGTTTATGAATAATTTTTAACGCAGTGTTCTTTTTGCCTGGGCCTCCAGCCATGGTATCACAGAATTTTTTTGCGCTACATTCGAATTCGCACTTTTATCCTGTCTTTATATGACGTTAACCGAATGAAAATGGAAATGCAATGCCAAAGACATTCAAACGAGACGAATTACTCGCCAGCACAGCCTGTATCCGCACATCCGTCCACTTCACTGTCCGCTTGACAAGGGATTCACGGACGCATTAATTCCTTTACATAATTGAATAAATTAGTCACGAAACTTGCGAATTACAGCGATCACAAGACCGGTCGTTCACGCTCGGAACGGGCACGAAGGCTCGGGTTATAGCACGGGCAGTATATACGTTAAACGAATCCACATCGCACCCTAAACTCAAATACCCCGACAAAACAGCTTTGTGTCCACACTGCGATAGTTCACACGACGCAAGTTCGTAAAGATAATGATAAAAGTTCAAGAAGCGAGTAAGGAGTAGTGTTAACAGTTAAATAGTGCGCCCTGTTACATTTGATTCGGGTAGACTGGTGGTTAGAGTGGCTGATAGGGTCTATGTCTCCCTGGGTACTGCCGGAACGTACCATGGGTACGGTCCGGTATACCGGAACGTACCCTGGTAACTATCTGATATGGTTAGGGTTAGAGTTAGGGTTAGGGAGTAGGCGTAGGCGACTCCCTATATAGACTCGTTAGTGGAGTAGGCGAGGTACGGTCCGGCATATTAGATAGTACCAGGGTACGTTCCGGTATACAGGACCGTACCCAGGGCACGTTCCGGCAGTACCCAGGGAGACATAGACCCTGGCAGCGTTAGAGTGTAGGTTCTCCATGCACGGGGACCAACAGCGCCGCCATTTAACTCGGGTAATTTTAATTATATTTCCGTTAGGGGTTAAAATATTTAATCCGGTTCAACCCTAACGTGTGAACCCTTTGATGAAGACAGAGATGAAAGCATAGTCGGCGTGTGATGTCGGGGTGTGATGTAGTCACCGTTCATACACGTCATTGCAGGCATATACATGTACTGAATTTGACAGCCCGCGTTCTGTCAACCTAAAGGCGGCGATCGTGAATATAAAGCTAAACTCACTAAACAAGTCTCACACACCGGTATTATGAATACGCATCACTATCATACTGACCAAATACCTCGAGAAAAAAATTATTTCGATGGACACACTCTAAACGCACATCACAACGTTAATAATCGCACCATAGTTTAATTGTTAGAATTAGTTTAAAACGACGCAGAATGGCGCTCACAACTGTAAATTTAGCAGGTACGAATAGGCACATCAACTTTATTAATCAGAATACTGAACTAAACGTCGAAGTTTCTGTAGTTCAGTGTCATGATATCATCATTTCCGGTACCCACTAGGAGAAAACAACAAGAAACTCCGCCTATTTAAGCTCATAAGGTCTATGTCCCCCATGGTACTGCCGGAACGTACCCTGGGTACGGTCCGGTATACCGGAACGTACCCTGGTAACTATTTGATATGGTTAGGGTTAGGGAGTAGGCGTAGGCGACTCCCTAGACTCGTTAGTGGAGTAGGCGAGGTACGGTCCGGCATATTAGATAGTACCAGGGTACGTTCCGGCAGTACCCTGGGGGACATACACCCTCTCAGCCCTATTTAACATCTCACTACCCGATCAAAATAAGTACCACGCACAGCTGTGAATGTTCTACATGATTTCCACATGTCGCATTTAGTGACGTTTCATAAGATCACCAAATTTTCAAGAAACCATCCATGAATAATTTTTGGAACAAGAAAGGGAACGAGAAACGTCCCGTTTTATTTAGATACAGATTTCTACTGTACATATTTGTGTTCACGCGTGTGCAACAAATAGAGAATGTAATTTTTCATCACGGAGGTTATTACGCATATTGCAGTTCCAGAAGAAACGAAAGAAGTTGAATGCAGTGGCTACACATGTACTTCGTCAATTATTAACGTATTAAGCAAAACGAATACCTACACCCTATAACAAATGCAAGATAATTACACCTACTATTGCAGTATTATTAGCTTCGTACAACTAAAAATACACCACACGAAATATGCAACGAAAACAACACACACATACATTCTGTACAATATAAAAAAGTTTGGACCCCATTCGGATTATGCATAAATCTACGACAAGTCATATCATTTGTTCACATGAACAAGTGTGAAGAGAAACGTGTCCGTCCTGATAAATGACAAATTAATTGAATGCAATGTTTATTACTCGGTGCCTGTGTCACGCATCACATTTTGCATTACACGTTTATCAATAAACGTATCTGATACTACTAGTTTCTATAATAAAGATGAGAACCATTGCTCAATTGGTATTTCCACTCAACCCAATCATGCATTTGTTAGGTGTCAGAACTATTAGATAGTGCTGACACCTACCGTTCTTGTACTAGCAGTACAATGTATATGATTGAGTGCATAGGTATCCTATAACAACTGTTATATGATATCTATGGTTGAGTGGTATTATAGGTTTTGGAAAAATTGGTATTTATACTCAACCCAATCATACATTTGTTAGGTGTCAGCACTATTAGATAGCGCTGACACCTACCGTTCTTGTACTAGAAGTAATTTGTATTTCTAAACTGGAAAGATTTTATTTTGTTCGTATATTGTAATGTAATTTGTATTCTGTGACAATCGTTTGCGTTTACTGTTGGTGTCAAGAATAAAGACATTACAATGTATATGATTGTGTTGAGTGGTACTATAGGTTTTGTAAAAAGGGGCAAGCACCTGTTAACTCGTTTTATCCTACGTTTACATTATCTTGGAGATCAGACGGACATTCTACAATTAACGGATGGGTAGGTTTTATATCTACTCATTTAACAGTACACGCACACATACCCACACACAAACACACAAACACCGACACCAACACTTACTACACATTGACAATTCATGCTTACAAAACGCTGTGTGCGCCATTGCTATCTATTGCAGTCTGTCATGACGCATCATGCTACACTAACTACATTAGACACGTCATATTACTGGAAAGTGATCAAAATAGACGTATGCAAGATTGCTTGGGATTAAAGTGGTATTCTCTTAGCGAGAACATTTTCATTAGAGACACAATCATTCAACTTTTAAAACAGAGTGTTCACTGCGAATCAGATCAATCATGAATTGTGCATACATTGTGAACCACACCAGATTAGAATGGGCCGAGTCAATTCAGAAGGTGAGATCTATCATGAATGGCTTTCACTTCAAGTTTTCCGTTGACAGAGGCAGGCATCTGGCAGGCGGTCGCTCTTCCTTCGCACACCTTGCACAAGGTTGCACATTAGTACACCCAGTTGACAGGCACCCACTGTGGTTCGGTGGCCAACCTCTGGATAGCGTCGTGCAGCACAACGAAAGTCTTCTCAAAGTCGTCATTGACGATTGTCAGATCAAAGAAGCAATCATAGTTCTTCTGCAAGCGGTAGCTCTCGTTCACAGTCCGGTCAAAGTCTTCCTCCTACATAACAGGGATAGGACATCACCAGTGACCTTATGAGTAGCTTCATTGCTTACCAGTATCTTGATTCTTATGAAGTGATAGCAACTAAATATTAAAATTACTGCGCTGAAGGAAGACAGATTAAAAAATACAAACGAACAGGAATAAAATTATCTCAGTTGGAAGAAGTTGATGAAGAACATTGCTCCCTCGCTATCCTTCTCCTTGATTTAAAATTACGAGTGAATCATTAGTATTACAATTAAAGAATTCCATCTCCTACAAGACTGTATGCATATTACCGTAGGACTACACAAAAATCATTGCAAAAGGTCAATCATATTTGAGCTAAAATGTAATAAATAAATCATTATAAATAATATTGACATAATTGCGAAAAGCATGCACACTGATACAAAATCATGCACTAAGTGTATCATTCAGTGACAGAAATGTGTGTACAATTTCAGACGTGTGAATATCCAGTTACTAAAATTAATAAGTAATAATCAAATTAAGGAAAGACCATATAACCGATGTTTTTTGTTGTTGCAATTTTAGGTAATAAATGCAGTCTTTGCATTCTCTTTGCTAGTTCATACTGCCTCCGCCACCAAGACGATCACAAAAAGACTAGTAGGATTATTATAGCTATGCGCCATAACCTTTAACAGTTATTCTGTGCATCAGTCATGTGCACATACTATTACAGCTGAGTGAATGTTATTGTAATTGTTACTATATGTCCCAATAAAAAGTATAAATGTTACGTCAAGTTTTCTAAAACTGCAGAAAACAAGACACGTTTTAGCATGAAGAACATCATTTATGAGTGTTAGTGTATTTAGTAACTACGTCTAGCAACTGTACCTACAAACTACACTCTCCAGAGCGTGGGTATTGGTCACAGTCGTGGTGAACAACTTCTGCTCTACACTACCAGCTACTGAGAGTTATTCTGTTGTTAGGTAAGAATTCGTAGCAATCAGATTTACCGTCATGTCCATGAACTCTGTATCTAATGTGCTCATCGTCACAGATCTGTTCTGCAGCTCACGCTCGTACTGTGATAAAATGAAAAATGTCATGCGGCATGCAAAAACCGGACAAAATGAAACGTGAAGCATCCAAAAACTATACCACCATCACAGGTTTTTGCAATTGAATGACATGAATTATAATAGAATAACAACATCCAACAAGCAAAATATGAAAAAAAATGTGCCAAACATAAATCAACAGGTTGAACATTCGCAAGATACACATCATTAAGATGGCATGTTGCAGCAATAGATGAGACTTGAAACCTAGAATAAATTGATTTACATGCAAGATATAGTAACAGCTTCAATGTGTTACCAAAATCACACCCTAGATTGCGTGAGAGCCCAACCCATCCCTCATGTCACATGACACAATACCAAGATGCTCAATGCAATAGACAGTGCAAGCTTCAATATTGTCACCAGATGGCAGCATGCCCCTGTAACACTGCTGTGTGCCGAAGACAACAGGGCAGCCAGCTGCATGCAAGCATGCTCTACTCACAGCAAGGTTCTTTTGGATGTGGCCCTCGCGCACGGCCTGCTCATGCATGTTGCGCAGTCGGTTAATGTCAGGTGCTTGCAGGAACACAACAAATGGCATGAACTCCGGCGTGCTCAACTTCTTCAGAGCCTGTTAAAAAGTAAATAAAGTTAAAATATAAATAAATATGGAAAACGTTATTTTACAACAGTATGCAGCAAATTTATAAGGGAAATATAATATTGTGCGTTTGCAACCTTTTCGAAACGATATGGAATTACGTATTACACGAAATCATTACAGACACAATATAAAAACAAAAGCGTCTATAAGACTTAATGCAGGTTATGATTAACAAAGTGTAGGGGCAGCGTGTAACAAAAACAAGTGGCATCATCATGCAACCGCATCAAGAAGTCGACAAACAAATTTTAATCGTAGCATATTTTGGTGAAAATACTCAATGTACGAGTCTTCTAAGATATGTTAGCCTCACTTTAGACACTCGCTTTTACGCAAGATACACCCGCAAGTATTGTTATGGTCTGAAAAATATGAAAACGTCGGGAAGATGGTGCAAAATCATTGCCTTAAGATCCGTAGCATTAGTTCTAGTATTTAGTATTCGTCTACGTACCACAGAGTTGCAGTCGATGACGCACATCTTGCCGGCGCGCACCACCTGCCGCATCGTGTCCAGCTTGGTGCCGTAGATGTTGCCATCCAGCTCACCGCTCTCCAGGTACTCATCGGCCGCCATGTCGCGCTCCATGATCGCACGATCCGTGAAGAAGTACTTCCTGCCGTCCTCCTCTCCCGGTCGCATCGCGCGCGACGTGTCTGCGAGAATGATTACAAGCTGGTGAATGGCTGGTGAATGTGCGCGCCAGCAAGCCGCGCGATGACACACCTCTCTACTCGTCTACTCATACATTTTATATGCAGCCAATGTCTACTCTACTCTATTTTATTTCATCGCTATGCTTTTAACAGTACATAAACTATAGAGCAAACAACTATTAAAACTGAAAACCATGTCTTAGTTCTACTCAAACTAAGAAACGGTACCTATGTAGTTCGAACAATGTAATAATATTTAGCAATGCAATAATTAGCTATGCTTGCTTGATTCATAAAGACCAACCCCTTGTCCCTGCTACATTAATGAGCCAAGCTAGAAGAATGTAGATATGTACCGACCACTGACTCTTAATGCGTTCTGACAGTTTTGCAACCACTATTTCGTGACATTTGGAGCCATGGGAAAGTTCCATGTGTTTCTGTAACTCATTGATTATAGTTTGATGAAGGGGGTTAATGAAATTTGTGAGCACATGTAGTGTCCGTTTTGTGTATATGCAAGGATGCTGTGTGCATAGATGCTATATTATCTTCATTGTGTATTGCAGGGAAAAGTGTTCAAGTGTATTTCGGTAATATCAGTTACTAGTGCCAGTTATTATCAGTATCTGTCTATACACGAAACAGAATAGACAGATAGATAGAACAACATATTATATGTTCCCATAGCTACAGCCTGCCCCTACTTTAGTATAGTAGAAGCATAGCCAAATATATGATGCTATGAGCCATGGTCGATGTCACGAGACAAGGGTAATGTAATTTAATGTAATGCATCTAATTTGTGTATGCGCGTGCATTCGTATTAATGTATGTACGGTTCTGTATATATTTTACTTCTTTATAACATCCTATCGCTTGACAAAAGCTAGTGTACACTGCATATAAACATTGTAAGCAAATCGAAACTGGCACTGACCGACACAAAGGTATCAGAGGTTGCCAGAACTGAGATGCTGGCCAACAAGAAATTTCAATTAAATAAATCGACTTACGTGGAATTGTAGTTCCATAACGAGTTGGGTCACTGTTTATGAGACGGCTCTTGATGGTTCGTCGACCGACGCCCTGAGCACCAATAAGCACCAGGGTTTTGCGCTGAAACGGCGGCATGCGGGCAACCTCTTCATACAGCAGCAGTTCGTGTCTGTCCATGTCTGTAACAAAATCAGACAAAAAACGTACAGGCACAAAATCTATCCTTGCTACAAGCTACATTCTACATGCTAGGAAAACACTACATTACCTACTTTTTTAATGTTCAATAATAACGTTTTATGAAATAGCATAATGTATTATTTAAATGTTTTATGATAAGTTATTTCTCTTGACTAACGAAGGAGATATTAAAGCTCTCGTTATGTTAGTAAAAGCATTTAATAATACAAGAGAAGTTTTGCAGCTCTTGATTATTTTGTATCACAAATCACAGTTTTAAACCTAAGATAGGAGATGAACGACGTAAGACGTAAAGACGTAAAGACGTTTTCTTTCATTTTGCTGTGGCAAACCCATTGGTTTTGTTTATGCACAAGCAGATTTTAGTGAGAAAACACTGGCAATCTGCAGAAATAAAACCTCATAACATGAAATAGGTTAAAAAGCACATGGCGTTGGGCAAACATATGCGGACCGAGCTCCACTTCCCACACTACTTACCATGCATTTTTGAAATAGCTTCGGAATAACAAACCATCGTATTTGAGAACTATATTTACAAGATAATTATTGAATTAGTTTTGAAAGATATTGGATAAAATAATGAATTTGTGTTCTTTTAAATGATTAAAATTATCATTAAATATTACAAAATCTTTGTCTCTAGTGTGCACAAAGTCTATTGCATAACTTGACAACATCAACAACTACCTATCTGTAGTTTTTTAAATAAATTATTTATAAAAAAACACATCAAACAACAAAAATTGGCATATATAGCAAGAATAAAACAGATTTAACTGAAATAAATTTTAAAAGCTAGATTACAGGTCATCTTTAGGCAGTGCACTTTTTCATTATGACCAAATGAGAAAAAGTGAGAAAGTGATAGCATTGAACATACTGATGTGCATGACACTGTATGTCCATAGCGGACTATAATGGTGCCGTTTCACAAAAAGAGCTAGAGGTGGTTTATAAAGCCTGAATTAGATATACTGGCCTAGTGAACACACACATACCTGACGTGTGGTGGTGATTGTAATAGACTTTCTTCTTTCTTTTTGACGTTGCAAGCGAACCAAATACTAGAATCAAAACAAAATGCATCAAAATAAGATGGGGGACATAACATTGGCCTGATATCAGTAACTTACCCATTGTTCTGCTGTGACTGTACAAGACTTTTTTCTTTCGTTTCGCCTTAATTGAACCACAGACTGGAAAACGCAAATCATGGCAAGTTATGCAAGTGCAGGTTTATCAAGAAATAAACCTTTGTGAACCGGAATGAGTTGTGGCTTAAGCAGATATAACTAAACAACTATGGTGCTTAGTGAGTCAACCATATCGCATGAATGACCTAACCCATTGTTGCTGATGAGGATTTTTTGGCAACACTTACCAACCGTCTTGGTGAAGTCAAGTTCAGGTTTGCAAAATGCTTTTCTGCTCTCCTCCAAATTGAGCGAAGGAATCAGCCCTGCTGCTTTGTCTTCTCCGACCTTTCTCGCCTAGTAAGTAGTGACGAGCGAATAAAGTTTTTCTCGGCAATATTATAGCATCACTTTAGCATTGATGATACAGTGTACATAGGATTGGAGTGTTCTGCCCATAATTCTTAGTCTACATGACATTCCATACATAAATTAAGTCATTGCCCTGCATAACTCACAGTGTTCAGTACTGTGTTTGTGTATGGCTAACCTCGACCCATTTAAAAGTGTAATAATAAAAAAAAATCATTAGTTACATGAAAAAAATTGTGTAATTACTTAATTATCTCCATTGACTGTTATGAACAACACATAGCTCTAAACACGTACTACAGAACAGTACTTAGAGGTCATTACAAACCACTCTCAATTATCACTAAGCTGGATTATCATTGAACTAGCAGGTGCAATACTCTGTATATTCTCACAGGCATCTTTTAAATTTTCAACCATAGCCACGACATTATGTTCCCTTTGTTCTCCAATTTTCAGACCAACTGTATGGCAACTATGCAAAGGTTTTGCTCCTTAGAACCTATAGGACACATAGACCAAATCAGATCAGTCACACAGCACACCCGGAAAACCCACCTGCCACCAGTTGGGATCTTCCTGATTGACAATCTCCAGGATATCACCTTTGTGGAAAAAAAGACCTGCTTCCTTGCAAGGAATCAGTGTATCTTTGGAAGGATCATAGGAAAAGTGCACCTTCATAAAAACCTGCAATAAATACACTCACTGTTAACTGTCATTTGCACTGTTTGCATTAGTGAATATCAGCATGTTGATATAAATAATTGAAAATGCACAACACTACTACAGTAATACAAAGGAAAAACGGTCACATAGGAAATACAAAAGAAAAACAATAAATAACACATACAGGACAACAAGGGGACACAGCAACACTTGAACACACAGGTAGTTTTCTATACACCACTAACTGTTCTAGCTATGAACTGCTCAAACAATTTACTGCCAACTGGAAAAGACACCATGTTGACAATGTAAAATAGTCTACGATAACTCCCGCCTCAATGATTCAAAGTACCTGTGCCGTTGGCAGGGAATCAGTGTAGCTGGGAATGATCTTCAGTGTAATACTACCAACGGCCTTCTTCATGTGCAACTGCAACTCTTCCGGTGTCCTCACTTCAATGCCATTCACCTCCTTGATGATATCGCCGACGTGTAACAAACCTGTGGCCACGACACACATAAAAAAGTTCCAGCATTAAATGTTGCGTTCCCCACTGCTCGTGAATATGCTACTTGCACCATTCCTCTTCGTTGTTGTTTTTAGATAATCAACACAAATCCATGATAGATTGGATGGTTTTATATGGTTGCAAATGCCAATGTCACAGTTGTTGCATTGTGTTCATGCACAAAAGTCCAGCATTAAAATGCATGAACAACTTTCAGTTAAAGTTATGGTTTTACGACAATTTGGTACACCAATCCAAAATCTTTGCATGTGAGATATAATGCGTGAAAAAGTGTGTTGGGATAACAAACTGTGTTTGGATAAATCGAGTAATACAGATGCTGAATTACAGCAAACGAGCATATATGGATTTTAAAATGCATGGTAATCCTAACGTCCATGATGATTCAGGCCCTCTAAATATCATATTGCTTGTTGCCATAGCCTGGCAATATCTGAATGAATTTTTGATTACCTACCAAATTACTTTTATGTACGTTTTCTGTTAGAATGCTATTTTATGGGTGACTGCAACGACAAGCTGCTAATGCATGCTACATCACTACGAATGCGACATCTAGCAATCTTTGGTGAACTACCACATCCCTACGAGAAGCATTACCCTGCCGATCAATCATGCCTCCTTGCAGGATACGGGCGATTGACAAATCTCCATCTTCTGTGGCAATCGTAATACCAAGGGGCTCCCCCTCCACCTGAACAGATGCATAAAAACAACAGTCAGCAACTTAGCAACACACAGATCAATGTAATAGGTTCAAACAATGTAAGAGAAACACCAATATGCACACAAAGAAGTACAGTCATATGTAACAAATATTCTTAACCTTCTGGATGAGACACAAGGAACATCACTTTCATACCGGTTCCCCCGACATATTAATCACCTGCAAAGCATACCCGGTTCATTTTTCACACACATGCACTTTCAAAGAAACATTATGCTACCAAGAACTATGCACAGTAACACTCTCCAAGCCTATAACAAAGGAATCATATTACATCAAATGTGTTCTAATCACGTATTTCTTGGCGAAAGGTATTCCTTACCTTTCTGATGCCGACCATGCGTATGGCATCGGGTGGGGGAGCTGTGTAAACGGGTGGTGCCATTCTACTAGCTATCTTTGGCGATGGCAATTTATCGAATTTTTTCTGTGCTATCGTGTCGTGTGCCTCAATAATGGCCCTAAATTTGGAAAGACATAAATCATACTACTGCAGAAGCAGCAATAAAATGCTAGCACAATCAATGACATGTGAATCTTCTAGCCTAATGAATTGTATGCATGGAATAGCTTTTCAGAGACAGGCCATTTACTTGCAGAACTTACATGGCATAATGAAAAGCCTTTCAATTTGAACATGGGCACTGGAATAACTACCAAGACATACGTACAGAGAATAAGAACTAGTCAAAAAATCTCTGGTTGCCATAACAGTGCTTCATATGTCATAACCTTTACGTTGGTGGGTAGGAATGCAAAAAAAATTCCACACATAGAAACTGTTTTCTTCCTCTTTTACGTTTAATAGTTGAGAGTGAAAATGGGTATAGGACCTAAAGGTGTCATTCTTAGAGTAGGTGAAACCAAAATTGTCAATTTTCAGTGCCCACGAGTTCATTTTCAATCAGTATATATATACAAACCATTGGTAACTGTAAATGAAAAAATAGAAAATTTTGAGTTGGTAACACTTTTACCAGGTCAAGCAACTTAAGCTGGGTTTACACTACTGACTTTATGTTGTCAAATTGGTGAATTGGACCAACTTCCTAACTATACAACCGATAATCGGCACTGTAAATGCAAAAGTCACGCGAGCAACTGTTCAACAGCAACTAGTTGGGAGATTAGAACATGTTCTATTTTCGCCAATTTGACAACAAAGTCGGTAGAGTAAACCCAGCTTTACAGAGAGCAGACAATTTTCCTGACCAACCTGAAAATGCGACACTTACTTGACGTGAGGCTTCCGGAGGATAGTCGACAACTCTGACGCCTTTGTGTTCGAGTACTTGTGTGGAGCCAAATCAGTGAAGATCTGCTGTATAAGCTCTGTGCTGTTTTCTCCTCCTAGTACGGGCTTTAGGGGTTCTTCTGCATCCAATTTGTCATGTGCCTGCATGTGTATTCACGACTCACATTATTTATATAACCAACCTTGCCCCTGTGAAAAAGGACGTGTTAGGTGATACAGTACTAGGAGTGGGGGAATGTTCCACCAGAATTCTTATGAAAAAATTATTTGTCTTGGTGTGTTTTAAGATATTTTGAATATATATACTATATCAAATACCAGTACTCCAGTTTGCATATATATGGTAGAAATTCTAACCACGTAGTATCAGTCTTTTAATAATTATTATACCCAAACTTTCACATTCATTGAGATATTTATGTAATCTTACGTCTTATATAGTAACTGTTTGAAAATTTGAACTTTAAAAAAATAATTCTGTGTAATATATACATGGTATGTGACACATATCAGAATAATTTCAGCATTCAGTAACAGGGGTAGAAATTAACTTTTGAACAAGGGAGTCCAACGGACTCCCTACCCTCAAAAAGAGGGAGTCCGCAGCAAAATGAGGGAGTCCGCAGTCTGAGGTTCAAAATTAAAGATATTAAAGGGAGAGTTTACTCTAGGTTCTAGGGTTATTTTGAGCTAATTTAGGTTATAATTACGCTACATAAAAAGTTTCATGATTCAATCACCATTAGAAATATTTAAAAAAATGTTTTAAAACTAACGACTACAGGTTTGATCTACAACGATTGGGTTGGCGCCACTCAAAGCGACGATATTGCATAAGTTTGCGCAAACCACTTTCCAGCAAGGCTACAGACGAGCCGTGTTTCTTATTTATTCATTTAAAAAGCAAAAGGATTTGTATATATCTTACATATAAGTGTACGACATATAGTTTCAGTTATATTGGATAAATTTGTCCGCCCTAAAATGAATATCGGTTTTCAGTTAAATAGCATTAGGATATAAATATAATTGCACGTTTGTATTAGCCCTCAGTTTCTGCTAACGTGCCACAAATAAATTGTTCAACTACGCAAACTTTTCGGGGGTGGCAGCACGGTCGCGGGTGTCATGGCGCCGTTCAAATTTCGTAGCGTTGATGTGTAATTAATTATAACAATAAAATTAGGTATCTGGTAACAAATACGTGTGGGTATAAACGATTTGTTATACAGTAAGTACAGTTGTATGCAGTAAAATCCTAGAGGCTACTGTCCCTTTAACATTAACGCATGTGCTTATTTTTAAGATTCATGCAGTTACACGCCTGCCAAATTTTCTTTGGACATTAGCTAAAAAAAATACAGTAATTCCGCGAGGCCGTGCTCCGGAACAAACTAGTTACTAGTATGGCAGAATTTTCAGGGAGTCACACGGACTCCTGCATATGTCAAATCAGGGAGTCCAACAGTAAATCAGGGAGTATTTGACTCCGGACTCCCGTTAATTTCGCACCCTGCAGTAAAATGTATCCCTGGAATGAAATAGTGATAGCTGTCCAAGGAAATTCATTACTCCAAGACACTCAGGGCCAATAAGGCAACGTAAGCAGAGAGGAGCACCATAGCATAGCAATAGCACTGCAAGTAATTAAATTAATTTAAGTAGTAAATACGGTTCTGCATTTACTGCGAGCACTGGGAGGCAAGTTTGTACGGCAATTCCTCTTTTCGTTTTCCGTGATTGTACCAACGAGTTTTTTGCCAGCTAACTCCGAGAAACCACACAGTCATGCAACCACGCGACATAGAATTCACATACTTAGAAGGATTTTAACATACATATAACTAGTACATATACACGTACATGAACTATTCATTTTGAACAACTCTGAGTAATTACTGCACCATTATATATATATATATATACATGTATGTATATCTAGCCTATAAATATACCTTGATCAGATTTTTCATAGCAGGACTATCAAGCAGGGATTGCAGAAAGACGAGGTCTTTGTGTTGTGCTGTGACATGGTTTATATCTGTGTTCGGTGATTTGATAAACTGGTCACTGACAACTGGAAGCAAAGAAACAGAAGAGTCAGATATATGCACACGTACACATGTATGGTGCACAATGGTACACATTAATATCCATCTAGTTCACGTCCCTCGAAGCTGACCTGGAAAGTGTAAGTAAAAACTGAAATATAATTTTTAGCACTTATTATCCCTTATGCTATGAATTTTAGCTTGTGATTGTTCTTGGGGAATGTAAAATTATTTCAGTTGAGAGATGACAAATGCCACATAGTAAGAGGGTTCATTTCAGCTAGTAGGCCCTAACAGTTATTTTAAGGACCAATGAATATTAACACAATCCATATTACCACATTCAAGATTTGTAAATATGATATACAAACTGATGCTCATAAGGGTCTATGTCCCCCAGGGTACTGCCGGAACGTACCCTGGTAACTATCTAGCTGATATGGTTAGGGTTAGGGTTAGGGTTAGGGTTAGGGTTAGGGTTAGGGTTAGGGTTAGGGTTAGGGTTAGGGTTAGGGTTAGGGTTAGGGTCCGGCATATTAGATAAGTACTAAATACTAAAACCCTAACCCTGGTACTAAATACTACGGTCCGGCATATTAGATAGTAGTATTTAGTACCAGGGTACGTTCCGGTATACCGGACCGTACCCAGGGTACGTTCGGGCAGTACTCTGGGGGACATAGACTCTCTCAGCCAAACTGATCTCCGCAGGGGTTAGAAATGAATTTTTGACTAGGAATATCCAGGTCACCAAAAAGAAATTTATTATCTGACGTTTCAAATTAATGATACCAATATTACAACAATTTAATGCACGAACAATAAACTAAAATGTACTATGTACTTAAATTATTGTATTAGCTGCTATACAGTAGGCCTACTGCAGAATAAGATTAAAAAATACTAAAAGCAATATTATTTTCAGTGTTTTGGGGGTGTTTTGGTTAAATGTACGCTAGCAAAATTGTCAGAAGTAGCGCAGGCTTCTGCTGCTGTAAAACCAGAAAGTCAGACAGTGAAAAATGGAATATTTGACTTGAAACTAAGAGTTAATTTGACCCCTGCTAAGGCTTGAGGCACTGCACTCTCCCACGGCACACAAACCTATATTTAATTTACAACACTAGACTTGTCTACATCTGTGACGATGTCACTTAACCAACCATACAGGTTGCTATATTATATATTATACAGCTATCTATGCTATATTATACAGGAGCACACAGTCACTAGTATACTGCAAAACATCATCATACTGAACAATATCACCTCACTGAGGTCAATGACCTATAGACAAGTATGGTCCATAATATTGTCAACAGCTCTAGGATTGAGTGTACAATGACTCCTACTAGCTATTCTTCCCATTTTGGGCAGGTTAACCCATCTTCAATACAAGATGAGAGAATGAAGAGCTCCTCATAATTTTTCGCATTTACAGGTTTACCACTGCCACTCCAGTAGAAGTGTACCCGTAGAGTACACGGTAAATATAATATATATATAAGTATCTGGTTCTACCAACATCAGAGGTGGTGACACTGGTGGAACATCTATTGCCAGACATTCGGTGTCAACCTGTAGGACCTTTAGTAGTTTTGATATATCACAAAGTACAGTAGGTATCTATACCCACAGAATATTACCCAGGAGAAATTATAAATACTAATAACATACAATAATAATTGTATGATACACATACACACACTCATAGTATAAGGTAACAAGTACATAAGTATACAATATTAACTGCCGTGTCATGTTGTGGGAAGGTGCCAATACCAATCAATATATACACTCATTTTTTACGTGTTTCCCTAAATTGACATTTCAAATCGCAGGCTACACGAACACTCAGAGATCGGCGCAGTAAAATAATACATTTCCTATAAATTCATATACAGTAATATAACAGTGAAACAGCAAATACTAGCATATGAAACACTCGACCTAAACAATCTCTCACCATTTATAGAATAAAGGAATGTCCACGTCACGACCAACACTGGCAACAGACGCGTTTTCGTGCGTCAATCAAAGAATCAAATCGTGCGTCAATCAAGAAGAAACGCCAATATGGAACCTTGGTCACTTTATCTGTACGTACGCTAACAAGGAAGCCGGTGAACACGTATCTCGACTCATGAAATACGGCAGCTAGGACAATTATGTCATCTGTCCTCCAACCTACTACACCGCCAGCGACCACTGCATGACAGCTAGAGCTCTCCACTATTCCTACACTTACAAAGCGCAATTGATTTTTCAGCCATGTCTTTAATCAGCATGCACCCCGACTACTCCATTTTGGGCCTCGCGCAACTGCGCATGCTGCTGCTAGTGCTAGTCGATCGTGGCACAACTCTCTCTCTAGCTATGTTACGTAGTTTAGAGTAGAGATGTGATGTATATATAATAATACATTCATATATATATTCATATATAATAATACATATAATATACATTCATATGTAAATGCTAGAAATATCTCTTCGTATGAAGAGCATTTTATTAAAGAAATCAACCCACACCATACAACTCAATGGCTAGAACATATTATAGAATATAAAGATAGAATAACGCAATGTTTAGCAAGCATATATATTACTTGCTTGCGCAACACTTGCTTGTGTAATAACCATGCCTCAATGAATTAATTTACGCCTGTACAGTCAACATACGCGTAGAAATAAAAATAAAACAACAGAACATATGCTGAATATATTTGGTATATTGATATATATACAACACATGCAACATATATCAGGAGTAGATAATAGGGGATCCCTATTATCTACTCCTGACATATATCCACCCGGCCAACCACAGGCGACACCCACCAATCAATCCACCTACCCATCGGTCTGCACTATGGTCTTCACAAACACAAAAGGCCGCAACATGCAATTAATGCGCTGTTTACAAGGACTGTCATGACGGTTGACAGACATGGTAACGTAGCCCTGCCTAAACAGCACGTTTATGCGCGTTAACACGTCTAGTTCACAATTATCAATTGCTCATATATAGTCATCGAAACCTGAATAGAGACCTGTAAAATTGATATTTTAATTGGGTGGACCCGATCAACAGCTAGGATCTCACTATATAGAGTATATGTGGCCCAACCCGAGTATTACTTGGTTCAACACGACTTTAGGACCTCTCGTAAATACACGATGTGATTAGAGTTCGAGTTAGGGTTAGGGTTATATGATGATGATGACGATGATGATGGTGGGGGTGATGAAGATCACGATCATGATATGCCGGGTATGATGCCGTATGTATGATGACGTATGGTGGGTATGATGACGTATGATGCCGATGGTGATCCAGCAATCACTGCGTGTTCCCATGACTATTGACGTACAAACATACCTGTTGCACCTTCTTATAATTAACTGATAGTATCATATGTACATCTTAACAATAATTCTATATCCCACAGATCGAGGACACGAAATATTTAATCCGTACGTGTACGTGTAACCTACTACAGGTAGGAAGAGTAGCGTGAACTTGTTCGATATACGTCATCAACAGGGACGTGCGTGACACCAACACACCTCGGCGAACTGCGCGTGCGACTAAATAAACACGCGACCATCCCTATAACTAGTAGTAGTATTACACAAATGTCCTATGTGACACGACATAGGTAAACTAAATTAGATTTACTATCTATGGGCGACACAATCAAGTAACATCACTGGCAGTGCGAAATCATCTCGTTCTTACCGTGCCTCCTCACACCAAAAATTCCACAATGAACCGCCCACCGTAACCTGCACAAAGAAATCCTCGTAGAATGGCTACTGAGCGACCAGGTAGGCCGCTATAGCATCTGGAATGCCAACCACCTCACCGATCGTTTCTAGATGGCTCACAATGAATTTTAGCGCAGCCGTTGCAGAGCTTTGCAGCGCTACAAAAACAGGTATTCGGTGGTGTGAATACTGCTTTGATGACCGTCTACGGTGTGCGCTCATGCACGCAGGTATAGGAAGCGTCACAGCCAAAACGGCGTTTAAACTATGGCTGAACCAATCACTTTCAACGCTGCAATATATTTGGCGTAGGTTGGTGTTTTAGGCGCGTCTGCCCATCCCACATTATAGCGCTATTACTGGATGCTGGGGGAGACAACGAGCTTATCGGCACGATCGAGAAATACCGATGTTACCCAACATGTTTTACCGCGGAAACAAATTGGTACAATACTGACAAATAACAGTATAGGTGCGCATATGTGTGCAATGCGCCAACTCAAATCCCTTCTTAACAGTTTTAAACATAACAGTTCACCCTCTCTTCATACACACAAATTATACTAGACGCGATTTATTTGTTAGCTATATGAATGAGTTGTGTATGCCTCCGCCAGAACAAATATAAAAGTGTATATGAGCATGCAGATTCTGTCAACGAAATGTAAGAACTGTCAAAACATGATGAACTCATGAGGGAACGGGAGGCGGGAGAAAAGGGGGCGGGAAGCGGGAGGGGAAGGAGCGGGAGTAGGGAGGCCAGTGGGCGGGTGAATTTTCATCCAAAACAAACCATTATACTATGTTGTACACGTGAGAGAGAGAGAGAGAGAGAGAGAGAGAGAGAGAGAGAGAGACAGTATACTAAGTAGAGAAAAATAAAAGAAATCCATAGCACGAGAAATAAATACATGAGAAAAGATGTACATTGTACAGGATTTTAATACATTTATTACGCAAACTGTCAGAGAAACTAAGTGACATTCAAAAAATAAAATGCAAATATATAGATCCTGGTAAGAAGAATATTGCTACCTATTTTTCCCTAGTCTACCTCATCGTCATCATTGCTGCTACCATAAAACAAACAAATCTTAAAGGGACAGTAGCCTCTAGGATTTTACTGCATACAACTGTACTTACTGTATAACAAATCGTCTATACCCACACGTATTTGTTACCAGATACCTAATTTAATTGTTATAATTAAAGGGACAGTAGCCTCTAGGATTTTACTGCATACAACTGTACTTACT